GGTTAGGGTGCAGTACTGCAGGCCACTTCAGCTGACTGTTATCTGCAGTTCAGCGGTTCTAATCTCACCGGCTCAAGGTTGACTCAACCTTCCATCCTTCCGAGGTGGGTGAAATGAGGGCCCAGACTGTGGGGGTGATATGCTGACTCTGTAAACCACTTAGAGAGGGCTGAAAGCCCTATGAAGCGGTATATAAGTCTAACGGCTATTGCTATTGCTATAGCAAGGACAGAGACTAGATGACCTATTTTCATTTCTACGTTCCTATGAAAACTGACAGATGTAGCTGTACTGCAATGTCCACAGTTTATTTTTTTTGTTTTTTTGCAATGTTGACTTGGCCACAGTATACCAAAATTCCTCAGGAAGAAACCTAGCGGCATTGGGAAATTAAAGCCAAAAAAATGTTTGTCCAGACTCCTGAGAAACCATGCACCTGGAACTCTCATAGGCCCAAAGGCCATATCAACATTGTGATTTCATTGCTTTTTCAGCTTTTCCAGACAAAATACTCCCCATCTCTTTGAGCGCAAGACCTGACCCCAGGAAAACGTTGCTCTTCCAGAGAGACATCTGCATTTGTTTCTTCTATTTCATTATTTATTAGGCATTTCCTTCTCTCAGAACGTTGCCTATTTTAGAATAATCTTTTTTTCCCTTCTCCTCTTACTTCAGAGTGTAGCTGAAGTAGATAAACCGACATCATAATTCACAATGTTTGAGACAGGAGAACAGGATCGATCTATTCCTAGGGACAAAGTACTATCTACTTTGGAAAGGTTTGCTCCTGGGTCTAAATTCCAGGTAGCTCTAGGGAATAACTTTATGCCTATGCAAATTTAGAATATGTTTGAACATTTAAATCATCAAGCAAGGAAGCTAGGCTGCAATATCAGACAGGCAGAAGTCCAGCCAGGCATTCATACAAAGAGAGAGGAGCTTATTTGGAAGGTTTCCAATAAATCACACACTTGTGATTTAGAAATGTGTGGTTGAGGGAAATCAAGTGCCTTCGAAGGGAAGCCAACCTCTTCAAGAGCCAACAGGCACCAGGTCTCCTGGATTAATCTGGTCAGGTTGGGTTCAAAATTTTGTGCAAAGAATCCCATCTGTTTCATTTAGTTTTTACAAAAAGATCAGATATAATTTATTTCTAGCAGAAAATGTCCACTTATATCCTTTAAGCTTTATTTGGAGAGAAAGTCAGAAGACCTCCGAGGTCCCTTCCAACCCAATTGTTCTACGTTAATTAAGACACAGAATAACAAAATATATTTTGACTCGTTGGGCAAACAGCTGTTTAAAAGCACTTTTGATTGAAAAGACTATTCTAAATCAATATGTCAGCTGACATTCACACAAGTTCAGAGGGGAACGTAGCTAAATATAACAAACAAGGCATTGGACACAACTGTTGGTGGGATTTACACTTTTTTTTTTTTTGCTTTCAACTGAGCACACTCAGTGCGATAACTATTTTAGGTTATTTATTTGCCTTTTGAGTCAATGAAGAATTTAAGTCAGCTAATGAGGAAGGCTTTGAAAGCAAGTTAAATTAGCAGGAAGTACAATCAGAGCAGAAAGGCCTTGGCAAAATTAAACCCCATCATCACAAGCAAAGTTAATGAAAGTTGTCGTTTCATTATTATATGAATTGCTCAGTACATAATGCTCAGTTTTATCATCTTTTTTGTATAGGAGTCAGGCACCATCTTCCTGTGAAGCTATGGATTATTTCAGAATGTTAAATGAAATCGAAGCATGTACATCCAGCAGATCAGATGCACAAATATGATTCCTTGGCCTGATCCGTACCCACCACTAAGTCTGCCTATTTTGTCCTATGTTCAAAACAATAGTACACACAGTAATGATCTCTTCCAATTTCCCCCAAAACAACACTCTTAAAGTAGAGTGAGATGAAAGATAAATGGCTTGCCAAAGCCACATACTGAGCTTTCACAGCTGAGGATCGTCCGATTCTAGTCCAATGACTTAACTGTTGGCTTCATATCAATTTCTTTTTTTTCTGAAAGCCAGACTGACTTACATAACTGTTGTCTTTCCCGCACCATTCTGGCCCAAGAAAGCCGTGATTTGGCCCTCGTAGAAGGTAACGGTCATTCCATCCACTGCTGGCTTGGAACAATTGGGGTAGATCTTCACCAAATTCTGGATGCTCACGCCAGGCTTTAAGCCAGAGGGCTCCACTTCAAAATATGGATTTGCTTGAAACAAAGAAAAATCTATTTTAGAAAATGATAGGCAAGCTCCATGGTTGCAACTCTCAATAAAAGTGATTTATTAACATCAGTGGTCACATTACTTAAGTATAATGAATTACGAATTCTAAAACAGTGTGTGTGTGTATGTATGTGTGTGTGTATATATATATGTTTTTTTATTTGTGCTGATAAATAAATAAAGGGAGACTAGTATAGATCTATTTCAAGCTATTTAGATCTCATCAGCTAGCCATACCCTTACTGGGATTTGAACCTGGGCTATATTACATACTAGGCAGACATCTTAGCCATTAGGCCACAGGCTCTTATCCGCTATCATTGAAGCCAGGGTGAAAGGTATCTATTAGATTTTTACAACCCTCGGTATGCCTTTAT